TGAGCGCTGAGCTCGTCCTGCGGGAGCGCTGCGCGGAGCGCCCCGTGCGCGCTGGGAGGCGGCGGGGCTGGAGGGACCCCCTGGCAGCGCTGCCCTGGGGGGAAATGAACGTCTTGGAGCCTGGGTCTCGTTTGAGCCAGCCGTCCGCCACGAGGAAGCGGTTGGTGCAGATAATATTTTCGAGGAGGGATGCCCCTTCTCTGCTAGGCTGATGGAGCTGCCACGGATCTTCAGATGCGTGGTTGGAGTACAGCCCGCGTCAGCCGCATCTCGCAATCGGCGTTCACTCCTGGTGCATTTTTAGTGAAGAGAGAGAAAAAACCCTTTTACCTCTTTGGGGGTGCAGAGATACTGAATCTACTGGAGTAAGAAGGGTTAAATATAGAATGCAATAAATGTTTTTTCCATGCTAGCAAACGTAGTTATTAAAAGCACAGCAAATGTACGAATATAGTCTTAAAAAACAAACCAACAAAACCAACAGTCCTTAAAGGAATTGTAACCAAGGCCCACTGTCCACAAAGGTACCTTTGTAAATGGCAGAAAACATTTGGGAAGTAGCGGCTAAGTTGCTTTTATTATCTTTGTTTTCAACTAGGGAATGTCTAAAAAGAGAAAATCACTGATGGCCTCACCTTCAGAAAATGGGTCATTTATCTTTTCCCATTCAGTTACATTACAGCTTTGAAATATTAATGTCTTGTGCAAAGGCCTAGACTTAACATCAAACTTAACTTTCTGGTTAGGCAATTTTAATAGGAAGATGGCAATTATTCACAGAAATATCACCCTGGAAAAGCCACCCGGATGTGACTCCAGAGGAAGAGCACATCCCCAGAACTTTCCAAAGTGACTAATGACTTCAGGTGTTCGATTTAGGGTGTTTCAACGTCTGGAATGAAAGTGAGTAGGACTTTTGTGACTGCAGTCAGTGGGCCACCCGGTAGGTTTCTGTTTCATTACAGACATGCCCAGGCTTTTGTGTGGTATGTGTTGGGGTTTTTGCGTTGGTTTTTGTGTTGGTTTTTGAATTGTTATTGGTTTGGGGGTTGTTTGTTTGTTTGTTTTAACAAAGCACTAAGTTGTATTCCTTCTGCAAGAGTTGTCCCTGGTTTCTGCCTGCAAGGTATACTCCACCCTCTCGTGCTACTTCTTTTCAAAGACAAGTTTCACATCGTTTCTTGATGACTGTGTTTATTTAACGCCTTACTGTGTGGAGGGGAGGGTTGATGTCTGTTGAGGTATTTCTGTGTCTCCCAGCAAGATGAGCATAGAACAGTTTATAACAGGAGGAGAGGCAACGAAGGGCAGCTTCGTTTAATGCCCTGTTCTTTCTCATTAGTTTCAAATACTACCTTTGACACTGCTCTTCAAAAGGAGGAAACGATGGTTTCCTGGCATTAAGGGTCAGAAAGCATTTAATTCCTCATTCTTGCATTGGGTTTATTCCTAGAGCAAGTTACCACTCTGGCACGTAGCTCATCAGTCCTGGCTTCTTACCTCTCTGAGGTGAAAAAAAAGGATTTTCACCTCTCTGAGGGTTTGTCACAAACTGCATGTGGACTTTCCACCAGGCTGAGTGAGCTGGAGTGTCTCTTCTCCCTGCTTGGAAAACTTGCCACCATTACACTGTTTCTATGGACAGTGTTAGGGAAGGGTTAGTGGTGGTGTGTATGTTTTTCTTTGTGTCTAGCTGAGGAATTTTTATTTTGCTTGTGCTTATTTTGCTGTGTTCTGAGGTCTTCTGCAGAAGTGCAAGCAAAGCACGAGGTTTTAGTAGGTTTCTTTTTATTAGAATCGTTTAATGTTAATATTTTTCAGTAATTAATATTGATTATTGAGTGCTGTTGAGGCAGGGGTGCAAGGCACTTCGGGCAACCATATCAAGTGTAATTCACAGTTCTTGTTTTGGCCATTTTAAAGCAACATTAAATTTTTTTGGAGTGTCTTAATAATGTGCTTTCAAGTAATTGAAAGAATTTTGCTTCCCAGAACACTGCATTTTGGAAGCAAATGTCAGCATTTAACGAACATTATCAAAGTCGGCATTAACTCAGATTCAGGATTTTTCTATTGTTGATCAATCCTTAAAGATCATTCACAGCTTTTAGGTCAGAGTGTAGGCATAAACATGTTAAATTTGTGACTGTTTTTGCTTGCATGCAAGATGACCATGCACAATTTCTACAATTTCTGCTGGTAGTGAATGCATTGTTGCAAGGATGGATTTACTACTGGAAGTTGTTTCACTTCTTCCCCCCCCCTTAAATTAGATTAGTGAATTTTCCCCTGCTTTGTTTTGGTTTCAGAGATGGATTGTGAGGAGTAAGATTAATTTAATTTTTCCCCCCTTTTGTTCTGCAGTACATAGTATTACTGCTTTAAGAAACTGCAAAAAGCAGAGCACTGGTTCACTGGAACAGCAGTTGTTATAATTTTCATTGGTAACAAGGTTATTTAGCCGTGGTATGCCAATTTTCCAATAGTGACCCTTACTGGAAAAGGAAATTAGATGAGTCATATACACAATTCAACTAATTGTGAAGTATTTGAGTGTTTAAGGAGGTGGAGCAATTCAGAACATCTGTATTGGAGTTACAGAAGAAAATAAATAGTTGGGGCAGCTGATATCAGTCTTTCTAAATGGGAATGAACCTTCAAACTGTCTTTATATGCAGTTAATTGGACTCTTTCTGAATTCAATTCTGCCTTGAAGTTACAGTGGATTGTGTAACAGATATAGTAATGCTTGAGAAAAGGCTGCTCATCCTTACGTGATGAGAAGAGGGAGGCAGAAAGACAGTCTTCCTGGAAAGCTTCAGTTGGCAGAGACAGAACGGTCTTGTTAGATTGGGGATGCACTTATTTGGGTTTTGTCATGGGCTGATCAATGTGTTGTCTTGTGACTTCGTTCTCTTTTTGTGAAATGGAGAAAATCCATGTCCTTGTGCCTGCCTTTGATTCAAACACAGCATCTGCAGTAGTCTGCTACATACATAAGTGGTCAGAAACAGTGAGTTTCTAACTGTGGAAGGTGTGATTATCCTAATTTGTTGTCTCTCAATTTGGGTGTTTCTAAGCATTTGTTTTCTCCACAGACAAGGTAAAAATACTGTGATATTGAACTATACCCCATTTCTCTTCCTCTTCCCCTGTCACTATTAGGGACTTCAATTTACAAGTGTATTTTGATGCTCCAGTGTCTGTAATAGGTTACTAAATGATGAGAAAATAAATTATGAAGATTATTCATTGGAAAAGAACTTCTAGAAATGTAAGCAGCCTCTATTTAACAGGCAGATAATTTATCTTTCAGGACTGGTCGTTAGTATTTTCTATAATAAGTGAGTTAAACTGCATACAGAGCCTGTTCTATGAGGCTTGCATTCAGACACAAGCTAATCTCACCAAGGAATGTCTGCTTCTTGTTGAGGAACAATTGAGATTTGGATATGAAGCTATTTAAAAAATAGTTCTATACTTCTTACTAGCCTGAAAAGTAAATATATATAAGCTTACACAGTTTGTAATTGTAACTTGCATAAGAGCATTTGATTTTGTGTTCACTGTATTCTCAGTGAAGAAGCTACTTAAAGCTGACAAAGCAGTTGTGAGCTGCCATTAATGAATTTCTCAGCTCCCTGCTTCAGGCAGTGGGCTTAATATGCAGGTTCATTTACTCTGAAACCAAGATGGAAGGAGAGATTGGAAAGTGTTGTCCTGGCTCAGGAGGCAGATGTGCATGGTTGGGTAAGAGAGCTCTTCTAACTAGAAAAGGCTGTTTCACAGCAAAAACCAAGACAACCTGGCCTAAACATGCAAAGAGACAGCAAGATTAATCGCCTGGATTACGTTCAGGAGTTAATTTTTCCGTGAGTGTGTACTTCAGTGACTGTATGTACTCACTAGGTTAGAGTGTTCCCTCTTCTAACACTGTGGGCTTTGCTGTGCCTCTACACAGTGTTAACTCTAAAACCAGTACGTTTTTAACACACGGATTGACTCTGCATGGAGCTTCTCAAAACAGCCACAGGCAGGGTAACCCTTAGAGAAGGGCCCTATAGCCCAGGAAACAGAGAATCCTTCTCTGAAAACATGGTTAAAGACCATGATTGTGTTTTGTAGGTTCTATGAAAGTTTGAGCATGTGGGTTCTAAAGCTAGCTCCAAGTCTGCCATTTCATATACTTCCATAAAATAGCCGTGGCCTGAGAGGTAGCAAGATGTATTTGTGATAGATTGTGTTGCAGATATGTTATGGGAGGAGGAAAATACCCTTTTTGAGAAGAACATTTCTCTCCTTTACCGGAGAAAATGCAGTTTTGAAGCTGCAGTTGTGGGGTCTTCTGTGAAACGGACAAATGAGTTTCAGGAAGTT